TCCAACAATGTACCCGTCCTCCTTTGAAACTAACCCGTCGCTTCTAAATAAATAAAAATATAATTTTCTCTTATTTATTACTAACATTTATGTAAATTGCACAATGAATTAGTAGTTACTAGGATTACAAATACTAGGATCACATTATACAGTAATAAAAGAAATACTAGGTTACTAATAGCAAAACCTAGTATTTCTTTTATGAAATAATTTAAATGAAAAAGGTCAAGTTATCTGAAATGTCAATTTATCCGATGGTACTGCGTTTTTTAAATGAATATCAAATATGACGTTTGCCAGTTCCACAATCAAGCCAATGATTTACAGAGGTTTCTGCACAGAAATCTAAAAGAGGTTTTCCATTTAAGTAGATGTTCATAAAGGTGTTTAAGACCAGTAAGTAATGTGTTTTTTTGTAAGTTCATTGCTGAAATGTCCCTTTTCAACCGCTGCAGTACTCCCAGACAGAGAAAACATCAATTCCACCATGTTGCTGTATTTCGAGATTAGAGGGTCATTTAAGAAGAGAGGCGCTAGACTCTTGTAAGATAACAAAAATTGAAAATGTATCACGAACATTAACGGGAAAATGGCCGTCCGCGCGGACGTTGGATTCGAGAAATTTGTTGCCCGCGAGGAATTTTTGACGGCCGAGGACGGGCGGTTTTTCGAGCCCTGCTTTAAGGTGCTTTTTTTATTGGGTGTTTTTAAAATTTGCTTATTTTTTCATTTTCTATGTTAATTTTTGCTTCGAATTACGCAGAAAGACACAGTTCACATTGTTCTATTCAACGTTTTCACAATTAATTCAACCCCAATCTATTTCGGCGTATTTTCAATTGGTAGGGTTTGAAAACGCCATTCACTTTACTTGATTCAAAATTTCATGATTTTTGACAATTGTCAAAAACAATGCCAAAAGTTTTTTTTTCTGACTTGACGGTTAAAACAAGATTAAATCGTCAATTGTCAAAAATTTTCCGACCCTACCCGATAATGATATTTTTTTAAAGTGCTTAAAAATATTTTTTGTGCTTGAAAAGTGCTTATTTTTTGTTGCATAATTTGGCTACGCACCCTGTTATAAGTCAAGCTCCATTTTTTCTAATATCTTTTATTTTCTATACCCAGTTTTTATTTTCTAATATCTTTTATAGTTTTTTTTTTTGAAAAAATATATGAGAGAGTACGCGTCCCTGATTGCAATATTGCTCACAAACTCTGCTTACGCAGTTCTTATCAGGCCGTGCCGTAGTGGACTGGTCGCAAAGACACGGCTCCCAGTAGAACACCGAAGTCAAGCATCACTGGCTGCGGTCAGTAAGCTGGTGGGTGACCACTTTGATCACCTTGCGTAGGGACCGAGGTATTGGTTCTCGTTAAACTGTTCTATCGTAAAGTGCTCGACTTCGCGCACAGGTCGCCGAGGTACCAAAGCAGGGGAGCCATCCCCTCTGCAGAGGATCAAAATTGTGATGGCATGACTTCAGATCATCCGCAGGGATGTTTGTTAGGCCGTCGCCAATAGCCCATTGTGAAGCTCTAGTGTGACGTAAATAGAGTACCTACCAACTTCTTGCGAACTCATTTCACCTGTCCTAAAATTAAAATTGTGGTGTAACTACCACTATAAATATTAAATACGAATTCACTAGTATGTAAGACATGTTAACTTGATTCTATCAAAAGGTACCTCTAAATAGAATCAAGTTGTGTCTTATATACTAGTGAATTCGCATTTAATATTTATAGTGGTAGTTACGCCACCTTACTCCCCTTCGAATGAGGTGAACCGGGTTCGAATTCCAGCGATGACTGGTCGATACGGACTCGCATACGGGCCCGGCTCGCATCGACTACAGTGCTAACGCGAAATATCCTCAGTGGTAGACGGATCATGGATTAGAATCCCCTTGCCGTCAGTCTAACCGTTGGAGGCTCTCATGGTCTTCTTCTCCATGTAACGTTAAGTGGGTTAGTTCCATCAAAAAGTCGTCCGCGAAGGCAAATTTTTCCCAATACTTAATCCAAGTGCTCCCTAGTCTTCTAGATTGGGTTCAGAATTGCAAGGCTGCGTGTTGAGCATAGGAAGCCGTAAACCCTAACACTTGGGTCGGCTGTTCAGCGGTGGTTATAAAATAAAATATAAAACCATCGATAGAACTCTACAGCGAAGGACCCGAATTTCGAATGAACTCAAACTTCTAACTCATGTTCACACCATTGTCATCTTTCCTAATTTCTGATTAAAGTAGTCTTTTCTTATAGGTTTTCCCATCATTGCCACCACTCGAAGCAAGTTGAGAAAAATTTTGAAGCTGTTAGTGTTTTTAATATGCATGTGTGGCTTTTGGTTCCAGACAAGTGTCTTCTTAGAAATGTATCTGGCATACGATACAATTGTGGATATTCGAGTGAGCTCTCCAGATGTGGTTGAACTTCCGGCCATAACAGTCTGCAACAATAACAGGTAACGTTTCTTCTTGAGCATTCCTCTATCTTTCACCTTTTCTTCTTGAGTATTTCTCTATGTTTCACCTTTTCTTCTTGAGTATTCCTCTTGCACGTCTTTAAATGCTTCCAACTTTTTTTTTTTTAACTTCCACGAATGTCTTATTACAGCAGACGATAAAAGAATAATGACTGTCATAATTATTGTTTTATGTTTTGCATATATCGGTAGGCTAGTCGATGCGAATTCCGAACCCGGCTTGCACTGACTACAGTGCTGGCGTAAAATATCCTCAGTAGCATACGGATCATTGGTTTAAAGTCCCCTTGCCGACGGGCTAACGGTGATTTTCCTCTCCATGTAACGCCAATGATGGTTAGTTCCATCCCGAAGTCCTCCGTGAAGGCAAATTTCTCCCAATACTTGATCCAGGAGTTTCCCTGTCTTCTGTATTGGGTTCAAAATTACAAGGCTACTGAGTTGAACATTAGCAGTCGTAAACCCAAAATTGGTTCAGCTGTTCAACGATGGGGTTAAAATATAAAGTAAAATATGGATCTAAATATAAGTTTCATTCCTAAAATAAAGAAAAAAATTCCAGATTTATTAAAAAAAATAATAACAATAATAAAATGCACACGGAGTGCATTTTCGTCGAAATAAGCATCGATCCGATGGAATGGGCAGGCAATATTTTAATGGTTATTTGTTTTATTCAGTCGCCGTATGGCGACCGTTTTTGCTCTGTATAAGGCCTTGGTTATGCTTAAAGGTTGCCCGCGAGTCCATAAGTTGGAACAGTAGACTCACAGTAGTTTTTGTGAACTCTACAGGGTGATGCGGACGAAGATCTGCCTCGATTCTCCTGAAGTGTGCATCTGGGAAAATGACAAGAGGGTGTTCTGCTCCCTTTGGCCCAAGTATTGTCTGCATGGTTTGCCTGAGGACGACGAAAGCATCGTGAAGGCGGTGAGTTAATAAATACTTCCTCTTTGATTTAAAACACATCTATATGACGAAAGATACGACAATGCAGGGCCCGCGCTATGGATTTCAAATTATTGGCCAGTAAATTAGCCAAAAATCAAAAGTATTCGCCAATTTTCGAAAGTCTTCGCCAAATGCTAATCTTAATTTTTTATGGTTAATATTTCTCCCCATAGAACTATTTTACGGCAGTTTACTATACCTACTAGTAGTTTACTTCTCCTCATTGAACTATTTTACGGTTTCAGGCTTATATTATTTGGACCCAATTCTATTTGTTTATGCTGCGCATCTACCGAAAATTACTGTCATCGAATAAAAAATACTGATTTGTTTAGGAAAATTCATTTTGACTTAATTTTGAGGATCAAGTTCAATATATACTTTTCTTTCCAGTGGAAAAAATCATTCGCCAATACTTACGCCAAAATACAATTTTATTCGCCAAATTTACGATATTATCGCTTTTGGCGAGGTGACGAATGCATAGTGCGGGACCACCAGAGTTACAATTTTAATAATAAAAATGATCTATAATGTATGGTGCTAATTGTGTTGTGAATTATTTGCAGAGAATACCCATTACTACAGCAATCATGAAAGCGAATCGATCCTTAGAATACCTTTTGAAATACGGTCAGATGAAAAGAGATGACATCATTGAACATTGTTCTTTGCAGTCTGATGTAAGGATACAGTGTGACAGGTGACGATATCCTTGATTATTTTTTTCCTTTTCCATTAAATAAATTAAAATAAAATGAATAATTAGTGCCATGGGAGATCTTTTTTCTGTATTCGCTCCGTTATGTTTGAATTTAGTTGTAAAAAGGGGAAAAAAAGTTTCTTCTGCATTAAATCATGTGATCCAGAAGACCATAAGCGATCGCAACGCCATCTGGGGAGAAGACCCTTTCCATGCCTTTGGCCCTTTCCTCTCATTCTCTTTACATCTGTAAAGGAATGTACAACGATATTTTTCCTTTTCTTAATATTTTTCGTATTTAATTGTTAGAAATATTTTTAAAATTTCCATGACACTTTCTTTTACAACTATGTTTAATGTAGTTTTCAGTTCCATGTAGTTTCCCAACTTAAAAGAAGTTAATCTATTTGAAATTCAAGACAGAAACTAGCGTACTTCCTTCTTCTACGACTCTCCACACCTCAATGGTGAAAGCATGCGAAGTGTTGCCATAGGTAGAGGGTTCTGCTCTACGCCACCTGTAGCCCATTTCGATCGCCAATACTCTTACCCGGTGGTTGGAAAAACTACATTATTTTTGTAGTTTACTTCAACTACTTTGTTACAAATGTAGTTAACTACAACTACTTTTTTCTAAATGTAGTGACTACAAACTACTTTCGAAATGTAACTACTTCACTAATTTAAGGAACCGAACTTTGTTGGAAAAATTAATTCAAAATGGTTTTGAATAAAAAATTGGCTTATATTAAGCATGAAGATTTTTTTTTAGAAGTATTTATTCACGTTTACATGAGACAATTTGTTATTCCAAAACATATTTTTCGAATTTGTTCATTAAACATTCAACTTTTTATGCCTCTTTCGACAGCGAGTATTTAATTTAACAAATGCGAAATTCTTAAACACCTGCAATTTTTTAATTGTTTAATTCTCTTTTGCTCTTCTACTCTAAGTACATTGAAAATAGTTTCCTGTTCTTTTAGTTAACATCAATGTTTCAAGAGTGTTCATTCGCGTGTGAAAGTATGACCTAAGTGATTATTTATTTATTTTCCTTAACCCCTTCCTTCTCACTCCCGTGAAAATGACGGGGCGAGGTTTCGCCCTCTATTTCTCGCTCCCGTGATATTGACGGGCTGGAGTGTTCAGTAGTAACGTGCTGATAAGAATAAAACTAATTCATTTATTTTTCCCCGAAAAACATTTTATTTCTCATTTTACCCACCAAATGGCAGTACCAGGATATTTCTAAAGTAATTGTAGATAATTAGTTTATTTTAAACTAGATGTCAGCACTAATCAAATACGTAATACAAATGCAAAAGCCAAAAAAATAGGCACTTTTATGACCGTTTTCTTGAAAATTAACCGATCGTTAAAGGGTTAATGATTAGTTTAAATATTAGTTGGACATCATTCTAGAGACGTAATTCCCGTTAACGATCAGCTGCAGCCGTAGGCTCATTTACATTGCATCCATTGACGAACCATCGAAGATGCATCAAGTTCGTAAAATTAGTTGCGTTTGAGCCGCGTTATTATTCTAAACTAGCGTTAAAAGTAGTTGCGTTAGAGCCGCGTTATTATTCTAAACTTACGTTAAAAGTAGTTGCGTTAGAGCCGCGTTATTATTCTAAACTAACGTTAAAAGTAGTTGCGTTAGAGCCGCGTTATTATTCTAAACTAGNCTCCTATGACTCTCCACACGCTAATGGTTAAAGCATGCGAAGTGTTGCCATAGGTAGAGAGTTCTACTCTACGCCACCTGTAGCCCATTTCGAAGGCCAAATTTTCTTACCCGGTGGTTAGAAAAACTACATTATTTTTATGGTATTTTACTACAACTACTTTGTTACAAATGTAGTTAACTACAACTACTTTTCTTTCTAAATGTAGTAACTACAAACTACTTTCGAAATGTAGCGACTACAAACTACTTTCGAAATGTGACTACCTCACTAATTTAAGAAACCGAACTCTGTTGGAGAAATTAATTTTCACCTATGTTCAAAATAGTCTTGAATAAAAAATTGACTTATATTAAACATGAAGATTTTTTTTTTACAAATATTTATTAGCGTTTACATGAGACAATTTGAAATTCCAAAACATATTTTTTTCGAATTTGATCAACTTTTTATGCCTCTTTCGACAGCGAGTATTTAATTTAACAAATGCGAAATTATGAAACACTTGCGATTTTTTAATTGTTTAATGCTCTTCTAATCTCTCTAACTGCATTGAAAATACGTTCCTTTTCTTTTAGTTAACATCAATGTTTCAAGCGTGTTCATCCGCGTGTGAAAGTATGACCCAAGTGATTATTCATTGATTTTCCTTAACCCCTTCCTTCTAGCTCCCGTGAAAATGACGGGGTGAGGTTTCGCACTCTATTTCTCGCTCCCGTGATATTGACGGGCTGGAGTGTTCAGTAGTAACGTGCTAATAAGAATAAAACTAATTCATTTCTTTTGCCGGAAAACATTTTATTTCTCATTTTACACACCAGATGGCAGTACCAGGATATTAATAAGGTAATTTTAGACGCTTAGTTTATTTCAAACCAGATGTCAGCACTAATCAAATACGTAATACAAATGCAAGAGCCAAAAAAATAGGCACTTTTATGACCGTTTTCTTGAAAATTAACCGATCGTTAAAGGGTTAATGATTAGTTTAAATATTAGTTGGACATAATTCTAGATACGTAATTCCTGTTACAGATCAGCTGCAACGATAGGGTCGTTTACATTGCATCCATTGACGGACCCTCGAAGATGCATCAAATTCGTGAAATTAGTTGCGTTAGAGCCGCGTTATTATTCTGATTGATTTGTTGATTTACGTCGCACTGAAGCTGCACAATGGGCTAGTGGTGACGGTCTGGACATCCCTGAGGATGATCCGAAGACATGCCATCACAATTTTGATCCTCCGCAGAGGAGATGGCACACCCGCTTCGGTAGCCCGACGACCTGCACGCGAAGTCGAGCACTTTACGGTAGAACAGTTTAACGAGGACCAATACCGCACACCCTCGGTCACTACGCAGACTGATCCAAGTGGTCACCCACCCGCACGCTGACCGCAGCCAGTGATGCTCGACTTCGGTGATCTGCTGGGAACCGTGTCTTAACGATCAGTCCACTTCGGGACCGTTATTATTCTAAACTAACGTTAAAAGTAGTTGCGTTAGAGCCGCGTTATTATTCTAAGCTAGCGTTAAAAGTAGTTGCGTTAGAGCCGTGTTATTATTCTAAGCTAGCGTTAAAAGTAGTTGCGTTAGAGCCGCGTTATTATTCTGAACTAACGTTAAAAGTAGTTTGCAAGGAATCGCTACAAATTACTGTTTTTTTTTGCATCGCACCACTCACTACATTACTGTATTAAAAAAGTAGTACGCTACACTTCAAACTACGAAAAAAAGTACCGACTACAGTATCTTCACTAATTGTAGCGCACTACTTCTGACCACTAGGGCCGGGATAGCCTGGTCGGTAGGGTGCTGGGCCCATATCCGAGAGCTCGTGGGTTCGAACCCCGCCTGACCGAACACTCCCCCGTGCAGTAAAGTGACTTATGCACGTTAAATCTGTCAAGTCGCAAAGTCCTCCATGTTCCCATAACAAATCATACCTCTGAGGGTACTGATCCATTAGTTTCCTTTTCTTCTGGACTGGTTCAAAATTACAAGGCTATGGAGTTAACAGTGGTAGTCCTAAACCCAAAAATAGGTCGGCTGTTCAACGACGGTTATAAAATAAAATAGTATGAAAAAAACCATCAATGGAAGAGCCGCGAAGGCTCAGGGATAGAGCGTTCGCCTTCTAATGAGGTGAACCGGATTCGAATCCCATAACAAATCAATACCTCTAGGGGTACTGGATTGGAGATCGATCGTTCTCTGATTCAGGTCAAAATTACGATCTATGGATGATTGAATGGATGTATGAATGGGTCTTCCCTATAAACGGGTGCGACGTATGGTGTGCAGAAGTCGAATTCTTGGCCATAGATGGCGCCACTAGAAAACAAGAACAATAGCACCCCCCTGCCTAAACAGGCATACGTCAACAACAACTGCTCTTACCCCTAAAACGATATTGCTGACTAAACAATGGTAATCACATGTTCTTTTTGCTGCCCTCCATTACTTAATAGCGCTGCTGTCGTATTTTTTTCAAACCCTACTCGACTATTGGCGCATAACCTTATAAAAGCTATTCTGTTTTATTCTCATTAGATTTGTGCATTTTCAAGCAGCTGATAATTTCGGATATCCCAACAACTGTTACAGCATCGAATCTTTATGGGAAAGACCTAACACAATGCCTAGGGTCATACCGATAACAGCAAGTAAGTATTAAATAAAAACTTCATTTACGTGAAAAAACATGAAGATGGTAATCAAAGTCGAAAAGTTTTGAGCGCTGAGAAATAGGCACCCATTCTCAAAACTCGGAAGAGGTCAGAAAATCAAATTAATGAGAAAATAACAAATCAAGAAAACCTTCGGTAGCCGGGAGAGGCTGATCAGTTCAAAATGCATTTCAACGTGCTATGGAAATGTGTTGTTTTTGTCATTCTCAAGACTCGTTAATTCCTCTCCATAGCGAGTGGAAATGTATTTCGCTCTAATTTGCCTCCCTCGGCTACAGCAGTTTTTCTAGTTTTATTTTCTATTTTTTCGTTGACAACTTAACGTTTTCTGTTTCTAATCTCTTTAGTTTTTCTCATTCATGTCTGATAAGCCTTGAAAATGGTCACCTATTTTTGAGATGTCGAAGCATTTCAATTTTAATCATTATTTTCATACATTTTGAAACAAATGAAGTTTTTATGTAATCAAGGAAGTAAGGATCTTCAAATTTACTTACATTCATCAGTACTTACCATTTAACAACAGACAATATTATTTCTTGGTAAAGTTCGTAATAAAACTGTTTATGATTATTGTTTATTTATTTTTTGCTTAAAACTCTCCAATTGTCATAGAACCGCAGGATGGAAACTTTTTGAAGGAAATTAATAAAATTTTGGTCTGCAAATTCCAACGTGATTAAATAACACAGTACAAATATCTTAAATTAACAGATAATCTTCTTAAAATAATGCATTTCACGAAAAGACATATCTTAAGCGTGTTTATTGAAATCATGGCATATTTTCTTCTAGAATAAGAGTCCTAGAAGTTGTTTCTGTTGTTGTGACTAGGTTTTACCATTAAATATTGCTTTGTCTATTACAAAAGTATACATATTAGCAGTGGTAACTTTATATTTTAGCTAGGAAAAAAAACAAAAATGAAATCAGAATCTAACAAATCACCAGGAAGGCGGAACTGAAAATTTAAAAACCTGTTTCATTGCCAGATGAAACTTGGAGTTTCTAATAACTGCCTTTAAAATTATCTCTATCCCCTCGGACAATAAATGTTATCAACCCACCTTCCTCAATAATGATTTGTTTGTGTAGTGATATCAATAGTTTTTTTTTTATCCTTGGTTAATATATGAATTTGTGACATCTAATATACATACTTTTTGACCTATGTTTCGATTGGTAAGTTTTTGAAATAATATCAAAATTTGCTTACCTGAGATTTCTTGTTGGTATAAAAAAGAATGTTAATTATCTAAAAAATATAAATTCCAATTATATACCAAGAAATTGGACAGTAACGTTTGCTATCTTCATTTGATTTATTTCGACTTATGATTGATCACCATTATAGGAACAACATCGCTAGCCTCGATTTCAATGGCAAGCAAGATATAATCAGAATATTTTAATGTTATTATAACAAAACAAAAAGTTTTTCATTCAAATGAAAAAACCCGCCATTTATCGGCGAAAAGTTTGATAAACTAAACAACATTCATTTCACCAAAGATATGAAGAATATCAGTACTTATTGGTTATAGGGATGATGAAGCCAAGTTCGCCAACATGTAGGATCAACGCCAGATTTTTGCTGGCACCGATAATACTCATAAAAGTATCAAACAGAACAATTTCGCAATCATTAATGATAACAACACATATCGAGTATGGAAAGTATCGCGATCAATATTGGTACTTATAATTATCGAATATGATAATATCGCTATCATTATCGACAATATAAATGTAAGAAAACTACACTATTATTATGCATAATAATTATTATTAAATTCTATATTTTTTAGAGAACTTATAAATTTATTTGGATAGCAAAAACATTAACCAAATAATCTAAATTAATTTGCTGATAAAAATATCGCAATATATTGTTAAATGTCGGTATTGACAATACATGGTGATATTTAACACTAAGCACTTAGGAGTTATAGAGACATCATAGATTAGTCACTGAGAGGCATATAGTTTGTCTAAAGTAAGAACTCCCCTAGCCATACGTCTGAATCCGTGGCGGTGACTATGGCAGCGAGGTATAGTTTGTCTACGGTAAGAACTTCCCCCGTCTGCTGCTATGGAAACAAGAATAGCGCATTTAAGAGAGGGTAGCTTCTCTTCACTCTAGGCCTAACTTCAGAGAAAAAGATTCCCTTTCTCTCGCTGATTCGAGCCAAAACCTGTACTAAATAGTGACCCCACACTCCCACTTGAAATAGTTATACCTCGTTACCATAGTCACCGCCACGGGGCCAGACGAATGGCTTAAGGGAGTTCTTACTTTAGACAAACTGTATAAAAATATCAAGTAGGGATGTGGAATCATTGTTTTGGACAGGTTTTGGCTCAGGTTGACGAGAGAAAGGGAATCTTTTTCTTCGGTTTATTAACCCTAAAGTGAAGAGAAGCAACCCTCCCTGAAATGCTCTATTCTAGTTTCCATAGCAACAAACGACTTCATACTTTGTGGTGGGGGAGTTCCTGCATTTGACAAACTATAGGTTCATGTTGGCGACAAAGCGAAAATCAATCGCCAAAGTTTCAAAATGCATGTTAAATTATTACGTATAAGCCAATAGAGAGAAATATTTTTAGATAGTAATATAATTTTGTTTTTATTGTACTTAGAGTACGATCTTTGGCTGAGTACGCATCCAGAGGAATACGTGAAGCACGACGATTTAGTGTTAGTGAACTTTCTGCTCCACTCACCCTTTGCCCTCTCCAATCCAATGAGAGAAGGGATCACCCTCGAAGGTGGAAAGGCGTACAACATTTACATGACTATGGTAATGGAATTATATCGTCATACTTTTCGTCTCAAACTGTTGTTGGTACTGAATTTGAACATTATCCATGCATGTTTCAGCACATATACTCACACTAAATAGAGAGCAGAGTCAATCCATCTCCCACGGAGCACAATAAGAATGATGGATTATGAGTTAATCTGTCATCACCTGAAAAAGTTTTCCTGTCCCTGCAACGAAGAACAAGAAAAAAGTTTGATCCAAGAGCCTCCTCTTCTTCTGGGTTTAAAATTACAAGACTTCAAATTTTATTATTGATAAAGCTGAAAGATGAATCAGCTGTTCAGCGCCGTTGATAAAATAAAATATACTCTAAGTAATAGAGAAAGGTTACGTGCTCTGCCTTTGTCTTTACCACATGCTTTCATAAATGTTTTAATTGAATTCCCTTTTCGGACGGAGCAACTATTCCAAAAATAGTTTATGAGACCGAGATAGCCTGGTTGGTAGGGCACATGGCCCATGTCCAAGTGTTCGTGAGTTCGATCCCCACCGGCCGAAGACCCTAATGGTATAGTAAATGGTGACTGATGCATGTTAAATCTGTCGAGTCGCAAAGTCCTCCCAGTAACAAATCAATACCTCTGGGGATACTGATCCAGAAGCTTCCTTGTCTTCTGGATTGGATTCGAAATTACAAGGCTCGGGAGTTGAACATCAGTAGTCGTAAACCCGAAAAATTGGTTCGCTGTTTAACGACGGTTATAAAGGAAATAGTTTATGTAATGGTTAAATTTAATGTGAAGGTAAAGCTTAAGTGTAGTTTCCGGTGAAAAAAGAAAGCATCTCAATAAACACTATCCTCAATAATTTTCGCCTTCATTTTCTTTATGCATATATGGGACTATGATCTGTAATTTAAAATCCCTAATAAGCACGGTTTTTTAAAAATCATTTCTTACAAGGATTCTAAAAAGACATAATCATGGATGTTTTTGGTTGCAGAGCACACTTCATATAGCAAGGTTTAGTGTAAGTTTCTCCTGAGGTATATCTTGCCTAACTACAATCATAATCTTCGGCTTAGGAAAGAGAGGTCGTCATTACTGATGTTTGTTATGTTTTATTTCAGGTTACCAATCAACGACTTCCGTTCCCCTACCAAACCAATTGCTCGGATTATTTGGAACAGTGGAGAAGGAATGGTGGGAGGGGCCCTCTGAATGCAAAGGTTAGTAACATATATTTTTATCCTCCCTTCTGATATATATATATATATATAACTTATTGGATAACTTTAAATAATATAAAAAATACCTAAAATTAATTTAAAAAAATTTCTTTACACATTAGTCATTC